GAAAGAAATTTCATGGGGAAGTTGAAAAAAAAACTTCAGAAGGTTAGTATGCAGGAAGTCGGAAGAAACTTTCAAGATGGCTGAAAAAGATAAGGAGGAAATCGGAAGATATTTCTAAGTAAATCCAGTGGATTTTGGGTAAGTTCTAGGATAACTCGATAAAAAAAACATTCGGCATAAGTCGGAAGAAACTTCCTGGTAAGTCAAACAAAGTCCCGGGGCAGAGAGGAATGTTTGAAGAAACTTCATGGGGAAGTCTAACAAAAAAAAAATTCTGGAGAATACTATGGAGAAACTTCCGGCGGAAGTCAGACGAACCTTTCCAAGAGAGATGCAGAAATTTACGAGGAAAATTAGGGGAAACTTCCAGAAGAAGTTTGAAATAATTTCCGGAAAAAGTTGGAACAAACTACGGGATAAATCTACAGAGTAAAGCAGCAGTTCCTGGCAAAATAGAGAAAAAGAGAAATGTTTGAATCAACCTTCTCCGATTTGTATGAAACTTTGCATATATGTTTGTTATGGGAGATTAGCCACATTTTTGCTAAAATTCGGCCATTTTGGATCTTGTAAAATTTTAAAAATGATGTCCTTGATATTATTCTAAAAAAAATAGCACGGAAACGGCATTTCTGGTCTAAATGATGTCTGAGACAAAGTTGTAGAGAAAAATAATAATAATCAAAATGTCCTTGTCCGATTTATGAAAACAAAAAAATTAAACGATTAAGAAAAATTCAAACTTTTGGAAGGTTTAAAACCATGGACACTTTAAAACTGACAAAAATCGTAGAACAAGAACTTGTGGTCAAATTTTTAAACTTTTTGCTAGCACGCTTTTTTGTGTGGCATTCACTCTAAGATTATTTAAAAACTTTAAATTATCCTCCCAAGAATTCATTAAAATTTCCATTCATGATTCTATAACAAATTTGCTTGAATTCTTCCTAAAACTCCCATGAAATTCACCTCAGAAATATCTTGCAATTTTACTCAGAATTTTCTAGGGGACTCTTCTGAATTCGACAGAATTCTCTCGAAATTCTGCTCAAAATCTCCCAGGAATTATCCTCGGAATTCCTTTGCAAATTCTTCTCAGAAACCCATTCGAATTGCATCCTACAAATTCGATTCTCTTGGAATTCTTCTCGGAACTCTCTTGGAATACTTTTCTTTTTAAATAATCGTCACAATTTTCCTGGAATTTGCCCAGAATTATTCTGGAACTATCCTCCAAAATCAATAACCTTGAAGTTCTTTTCGGATTTTCCTGGAAACGCTCACCAAAACTCTTTAGAAATTCTTTCCAGAGCTTATTTGGAATTGTCATTAGCATTGGACCCGGAATCTTCCCCAGAATCATGATGGAGTTAAACAAAAATTAAAAAAGAAAAAAAAATCCTAAGTGTAATGGCTCTAATGCTGGCGAATGGATCTAAGATTGGGCCCAACGCTAAAAACCTACTATGTATCAATTTTATCTAGATGAACGCGTCATTGGGACGGTACTAATCGATATTGTTGGTCGCTATTGAAAATTTAGTCGATTGCTGAATTTATGTTTTGGCCTAAATTAGGGGCATTTAGGCCGACATTACATCCATTTCCCCTATCTTTCTTAAATTTCAGCTGAAGCTCATCTCAAAAATATTTCGGTATTCTTACCACAATTGCCTTGAAGTTCTAGTCAATACTCCATTGTCGCCAGTGCTAAAATACCCAAGTGTTACATCTATGACTCCTTGAAATGCTCCTAATTCTTCAAATTGACAAAGTCTTGAAAATCCAGTCCAAGGGCCTTGACCACTTTCCAAGGACCAGAATTGTATGTTATGCCGAGAGTGCCCGAACTATGTTTTTACCCGATATGTCATCGAAATTCATGGTGATTTTGAAATCTCGGGTATTTACCGGTTTCCCGATTTCTCGGTTCACTGGCCAATCAGCGAGACGTATACAAAAGATCTGAAGGCTTCATAATAAAAGCTCCAAGGGCTTTGCAGAGAAGTAAGCTGGATTTCAATAGATTTCAAAAGTCATCTACGTAATGGTCAGGGTTTACTTCAGGAATGTTTGAACAACTACTAGAAGATGATTGGATATTTTCATGGAATTCTGGTGGAAGAAATTTACAGAGTCTAGAGGAAAATGTGCCGGTCAGAGAGCTTCAGGAGAAGGTTTGGTGAAGTTTGCGTGAAGAATTAGGACACTTCTACAAAAGGAATTTTAAATCAACTAGCGGAATTTCCAAGATCTAACCAATTTTGAGATGAGATATGGGAGAAGCTTGTAGGAATTTTCGGAAGAATTTAAGATCGAAAAATTCTCCGCAGTAAGCAACGAAAAGTAAAAGAAGAGGTATGAAGGCCTTCAAAATATGCCTAAGATAAATTTGTAAATGTATGGGAAATGTCTCTAATGTTGGCCTATGGATCTAATATTGGGCCCATCGCTAAAAATCTGCTATTTATCAATTTTATCTAGATGAACGCGTTATTGGGACGTTATTAATAGATATTTTTGGTTGCTATTGAAAATTTAGTCGATTGTTGAATTTATGTATGGGCCCAAGCGACACTTAGACCGACATTACCTGCATTTCCCCTATATAATTTTTGTAGTTCTGAAATGTACAAATTGTCTAAAATCGTTCGAAATTTTCAGCATTAGGAAAAGGTACAAAACCTACAGCGCACAATCTAGCTTCTAGGAAGAAATACCTCCCATCAAACAAGAACTCCTTCCTAGCCAGACTAGATACAGAAGAGAGAAAAAAAAACAGAAAGAAGACAAACCCCAGTCCCGTACACCCACAGACACACACACCTAGATAAAGCTTGTCGAATTCGCTGTCCGCCATCGAGAGATCTTCCGCCGTGATGTTCAGCTCTTCAAAGTCGTTCAGCTGTTTTACCCTTCTTGCCAGGTCGCTGGAGATACAGAAACTTGCCGAATGGGGACCATTCTTCTCGTACACCTCCTCCAGTTCTTCGAAACAGTCTTTCCGGGGCACCGAACGCGATCGGCGGCGGCGTTTGGTTTCCGACTCCGACAGATTCGGTTCCAGTAGACGCTGCTGAGGTTTGACAATGGCTCGCGGCTTGTTGATTGCTAAGCGAGGTGAAGGACATCCGGAGAAGCTCTTGTTGATGCCAAAATACTTTGCGATCCGTTCGTCAACTGGCCGTTGCGGTGGAGGAGCGGGGGGATTTCCACGGGGCATTGAACGAGATCGCCGCCGGGATTTGCTGTTGAGACCGGGATCCAAGCTGTTGTTGGGTGTTACCGTAGCTACGGGGTTCTGGTTCGTTTGAGATTGCAGACCAAAGTATCGGGCAAATCGATCATCGACCATCTTGGAACTGTTGGTTTTCAGGGAAGAACTCCGGCCTAGGGCAGTTGAATTGTTCGTATTGTAATGGTTATTCTCGCCATCGTACGAGAGACTTTCACAAGTGCGCTCGTCCAATGTAACGTTTGCTCTGTCCCCCACTGGAGATGGAACGGCACTTGATGTCATCTTTTTGATAACAGACACATCCAAAGTCATGGCGCGCATCCGGTTCCACTGTTTGGCCAAATTGGAAACCTTCCCCTTGACAACTACCTCATCCCCTTCGGCCGAAGAGTTCAGTAGAATGCTCTTGTTGTGGGATCGATTATCGTTCAGTAGGTTTCTCTTCATTGCAATAAGCCCGCCACATGTCTTTGGGCGACACTCCGCCCCACTGTCGTAGTTGTTCTCCTTACCCGACTCCACATTCGAGTCACTTTCCTCCTCTCCAATGATAGGCGTTGACGAGTCACCCATGAACTTCCTCCGAATCCGTTCCACCTTCGAGCGGTTCAGAAGGTTTCCGTCGGTTTCCTGACACTTGGTGCTCGCTTTGTCGCTGGCCAATTCCCTTTCCTCGTACAGCACGGCAGGAGTGGTAACCGGCATGGCCCCAGCCGCCGGCGGCGTAGTCGAATTCGAAATGTTATTGTTGTTGTCGTTCAAAAACTTTGGCATTATCAGCTTTCCAATCGTACGGAACTTGATTATCTTCTTCTTTGGTGGTTGGGTTCGTCCACAACAGCCGCCACCACCACCACCGCCACCACTAAGACCGGTGGGCGTAGTCAACGTTGCGGCGGTCACGCCTCCCCCTTGGACCTGGTCTCCGCCACCGGAGAATAGCTTGATCTTCTTCGATACCTGCAGTGTCGAGGGATCTGTGCGTAGAGGTGTGTTCCATTTTGTGCAGTTTGTAGAATGTGCGTTTAGTGTGTATTTTGGTTTTAACGGTAAAGTGAAACATGTGAGTGGTTAAGTGTGTAGTGTGAAGGAAACGTGCGGTAATTACAAAATGAAGAAATTTAATAGGGGTAATTAAAGTAATATTTTTACTACAATACTCTAAAAATGTATAAAGAAGATATTTCAAATGCTCGTCGATATTTCTCTAGTGAAAAAAAAAATGGTTTTAAATGAAGATGTCAAATCACAAAAAATACCCTGAAAAGTAAACTTTCTACTGCTTTATTGACTGACTCAGTGACAACTTTCAGTTTCTTCCACTGTATTCTGTAAAAAGCATGCATTTTCAAGGACTTAGTGCAAAAATATTCCGGACAATGTCTCAGATTGCGGAATGTTGTGGCATTTTTATTTTTTCTAATGATCTAAAAATTTTAGTTAAAATGAGACATAACAAATGAAATTAATAGGTTGTCGTCCAAATATGCAATGCGATAACGTCATTAACAACAACACAATGAACACCGAAAAACTAGGCAGATCACGCGCACATGCTTGTGTTGACTATGAAAAAGGATAAAAATAAAAGTGTTGCGTACAACAGTCATTGCTGAAGCTGACGTTAAAAACGAATCATACTAAATTCATCGAAAAACTCAAGAGCAATTAACTCAAACGCGGCCAGTAATGTTATCAAATCGACACGTTTCGTTAAATGAAAAATAAAAAACAGCGAGAAAATAGAACACTTTTCACTTACCAAACTCGGTGCCGGAATCATCCGAAATGTTGTTGTTGTTGTTAGTGTTGCTAAGGTTACTGATGAGATTGCTTGTGTTGTGGATGCTTCGGTCGATGTCCGTTGGGGAAACTGTTTGGGTTGCGAACTGCGTTGGTGTTGCTCCGGTTGGCATCACTGGAGGAAACCGGTTGACGTTTGCGGAAATGGAAAACAAATGGCATTAGAGGGTTGCGGAAAACTAGATCGGAATGGGGTAGATAGGGTATATCAAGACCAACAATTGAAATGGCCTCAACTCCATTTTGTAAACAAACCTTGTAAGGCCATTTTCTCATAAATCGAAAGCTACATTCGCAAACCTAAACAACAATCGGGTAGAGGAAAAAATCCCCTACCTGTTCATTTTGTTGGTTTCGCTTGGCGGACTTCGGTTCGCGAGAAAATGGCCTTACAAGGTTTGTTTACAAAATGAAGTTGAGGCCTTTTCTATTGTTGGTCTTGATATAGTTGAGATATGGTATTTCGACAATGTCATTCATGGCAACATTTTAGTTCTAACTTCGAAAGAACTCGCAACCGCCGTAGAAGCTGACTCATGTTTGCGTTTCGCTTACTGACTTTCGTTAAACCCACTAAAAATCTGTTCAAATTTGATCGATCGTGAATGTCATTTACGCGGTTTATAAGTTATCATGGTTTAAGCGAAAGAAAGTGGACAGAACTCACATTTTTGTCAGGTTCTAAGGCCGTGCATACGACAATTAGGTGGAAGAAGGTGATTAGAGAATGTATGGCGAAATCCACGTTTAATTGAAATTCTCTATAGTAATGCATTTTGTACGCAACATTATTTCTACAAAGTATCGCTATTACTATAAGCAACAAAATGTAGAAATTAGTTCATAGAAAGATGCAATATTCATAGAGAAATCTCCGATCTCCGACCACCGTAGGGGCGACATCTGTCGGATTTTATGGTGAAAAGTAGTACCCTATTTACCCAATTTGAAATTGCAGATCCTGCATTATGAAACAATTGCAAGATACCAGAAGATAAAATAAAATAAGATTTCAGACTTAACAAAACTTTAAGGATTTTGGGGATTAGTTAAATATTGAAGACTCCAAAATTTAAAAAGAATTAGAGATTGTGTCCCAAGCACGACCGCATTATTGACGTAGACCTACAAGATTAATTTGTATTGATTAATTTTTTTTTATATATATTACAGTCACTTTAACACTCTTGGGTCATTCGTGACTTGTCCGGGGGTGAGATTTGAACTCGTGACTTTGGCGTGAGAGGTATGGATGTTAACCACTACGCCGGGGTCGCCCCCTGTTTTGCTTAATAATTTAATTCATAATTACAAAATTATTGATTTATAAATTTTATTCTAAAATAAACAAGCATTCAATTCAAAATTTTGAAATAAGGGGACATTCAATAACCTTAATTTAATTCAAATTTCGTATTTCAAAATTCAGTTCCTATCCCATTCAAAATTAGGTATCAAACGTGAACAACCAATTTTCAGGTCCTACTGAATAATGTTTATTTACAGTAACCAGAGTTAAAATTCGCCGTTTAAAATGCATTTCATATAAGAAACCGGTTTAAAATATATATATAAGTACGTCACACCATATTATTGCATTTTAATGAAGCAAAATTATTACAGTTCAACTGAATCTCTTTTGAGTTTGTCCTTTATCTTTGTTCCAACAAAAATCTAACAAATAGCGAACGTTGTAATTCAATAAATTTTACGTCAATTAGATTGTTTCATATTAACATATTTTTGTGAGTTTGAACTAATCTATCCTCGTTAACATAAGGCATAGGGCTGTACTTGAATTTGCAAACAATATGGTACCATTTTGATAAGTCTTTGTCCGGCTTTATTGCGGATGTATGTTATGAAACTTGTAAATCGTTTACTGACAATTACAAGCCAATACGTTACATTCGTGTAATCTTCATTTCACAACTAACGACGAAAGTCCCAAAACAGCAGATGAAATGAAAGTTAAAGACAGAAGCAAAGTTCCAGTTGGGACGTAATAACTATGAATAATAAGAAGAAATTATCAAAATTTCAAATGCACCTTTACTTCCCTGGTGACAGAATTCTGAACTAACGTGTGCACCATCCAATAGGTCTTGTGCATCTGAACAACTCGGCCAAAGGTAGCAAGTCAGTTCGTACACGAGTGAACATTTTTTCAACTAAACTGACCACCATAGGTCTTATAAATCTGATCAACTTTGTCAACTTTTAGCTTCCAAGTTAAAGCAAGTAATTATAAGTCAAATCGTATACTCGCCGGGTCTGGTGTGATAATTTAAAATTGAGCTGTCCACTATACAATAGGTCGTGTTGACATCTACCTTCTATCTAGTCGAGATGTCGACTTAAGCAAGCCATTAGTATCAAATTAAATTAAATAATCAAAGGGATTTTTTCGAGTGACATACGATATGTCTTGTCATTCAGAACTGAAGACAGCAAACTTCTATCTAGTCGTACTGTCAAGTTAAAGCAAGCAATAAGATGACACATTCTAAATTCTGAACTGATCTGTCCATCACCCAATAGGTCTTATTCATCAGAACAACTTTGTCGAAAACGTAAGTTAAAGCAATAAGAAGTGAAATGTTATATGTATTAGCAATAAGAAGTTAAAAAGTATACTAGTGTGATGTACACCATCCAATAAGTCTCTTTCACTTGAAAAACTTTCCCAAACACAGAAACTTGCTATCTAGTCAAGGTGTCAAGCTAAGAAAATAATTTATTAGTGCTGGAAGACGAATTCTGAACATAACTGTTCACCTTATGCACCTGAACAGCTTTGATGATATAAATTTGGAACTGGTTACATATGCATTTACGAAACTACTTCGTTATTCGTTATTCTTCTTCCTAAATGAGATGAGATCATGGTGACCACTGGATTAATGAATTTAAATTCCCGGTTTTTCCTGGTTCCAAATGACAGTTATACCGGTTTGATAAGAATAGCTATATGTGATAACAAATACTTTTTTTTTTAATTTGATTTCAAATCAAAATTTGAAATCCTTAAAATTACCCATAAAAATTTCTTAATTCTGGGTTTCAACGTTAAGAAAAAAAAAATTGTATCACGAGGCAAATGATTCACGACACTAACTATTTTTTAACTGTCCTGGATACAGGAGAAATGGATGTAATGTTGGCCTAAATGCCCCTAATTTGGGCCCATACATAAATTCAGCAATCGACTAAATTTTCAATAGCTACCAAAAATACCATAAGTTCCGTCCCAATGACACGTTCATCTAGATAAAATTGATAAATAGTAGATTTTTAGCGATGGGCCCAATCTTAGATCCATAGGCCAACATTAAAGCCATTTGCCCTATTTCCCAAATATCATAAAATCAAATATCACCAATGCCGAATATCACGCTTGATTTTCGTAGACAAAAATCAACGAGCAAACAACTGCGGTTGATTTTGCAAGCTGTGATATCGCAGCTCGGAATATCTAGCTAACAAAACTCACCAGTTGCAAATCGCACCAAATTGTGGTGAGATTGAGTTTAGTGATTTATGCTTTACACCCGAACGCAACCGAAGCTTTCATAAGGGCTGGCAGCAGTCCCTTCGTGTCTGCCATCAGTGAAGATTAAAAAGAGATAGCAAACTCTACTTTCTCTTTCTAAGAAAACGATGTGCAACGGAATCATTTTTGTGTCGAGTCAGCTCTCAGCTTGATTTTTGCACGTTGTGAATAGTCTCGCAATATCAAAGAAGCTTGTAAAATCAATATCAAGCATGATATGTTGTTCCAATATCACGTGTGATAGTGAGAGCGTATGAGAACGGAAAAATATTATTTGGTTGATGATTTTGCCAACTCTGCCTATAAGAAATCAAAATATCGTGAAATGACAACAGAAAGTTATCAAGGATTGAAAATTATTCTTGACGCGGGAATTGGAAACATTTTCAAGATTCTAGGACTCTAGAAAAAACTTTTCAAAAAACAGAAACCTTCTATCTAGTCAAGATGTCAAGTTAAACAAATAATTTATAAGTACCTGCATCTGAACAGCTTTGATGAAGACCGCAACGCAGTGATGTCATGGTAAATTTGGAACCGGTTACTCATTTAGAATTACCCTTTGCGCCCTTGTACCCTGGAGGGTCATAAGTTCCAACCAGTGATGTAATACTGAATATTTCACTTAAAATCGTGAAAGTGGGGTTACTCAAATTTTGTTAAAAAATCTGCTCGAATATGACGAAAATCGTGAAAAAATTATCCAACCTAATCTACATGGCCGATAAAAGTAACTCAATACCTGAGTCGAATTGAACTCATAATTACATTACTTTACGTAGCGCAATTGAACCCGATAAACAAATGCGATTTAAGCTATACAAATGGGTTCTACGGTAATCAAGAAGTTTTTCCTAGAGAATCAAATTTACTCATTCATTAAGTAACCCCCTTTTTTCAAATTTTCCTACCCAACTTTAAGTTACTCACCGGCCGTGTACGGCATCTAACGATGTGACAACCGTCATATTCCCAGACGATGTGAAGCAAAACATACAGATAAGCTCTTCTATAACCTCCCAATCGGCTTGTCTCTCTCTGTTTTCTCGATAGTAATAATAGCGCGCACGTGATTTGTCGATATCGGCGTAAAAGTTAGACAAATTCTCAATAGTTTACTAATGATAAATTGCTGTAATCTTTAAGACCACACAAATCTTACGTCAATTCTGAATCAAATGGTGTGAACATAATTTTAATCCATCAATAAATGGCCAAATTATAAGCGTTTAAAACCTAACACTTTTTAGTTACACAATTTTTTGATTTGCACCCCAGTATAGTCGACAATGTAAGATCTACCACCGATTTCTAGTTCTGACTAATTCAAACATGGGGAACAGGATTTTTCAGTAATCAAAGCAACACATCTTAGTCCTTGTTACTTTTTATGCCTTGTTGATAGTGACAAGACTCGGCTTTGTCTACCGAGGATGATCTTGAAACAAGAAAAAAAAATGAGTTAGTTAGTCTTCATCTATGTGATTCCTAAGCTTCTATCCGTTGTTCCTTAGTTTGAAGTGGTTAAGACTAGGGTTCTGATCCATGGTCATTATCGGTGT